AGTCATCTGCTATTCTCACAAAAAATAAACACGAAAACTCTTTGTACGGCCCATCAAGCGTACACCAAATATCTCAGTTTTGTCTTATCGTAAAGATACAACTAATATTCTAGAAGAAATAACTTCCATGGAATTAAGAATGCATCGTAAGTCTATTCCATGTGTTTAAAATTGTTTTCAGCAGGTAACAGATACTGTTACTCAAATGCCTAGAAGTACATAGTTCAAAATTTGTCGAGTCAAAAATTCAAAATCAAATCAAAATCAAAATTCAAATTGTGATGGTTTACGTTTTCATCTAGTATTAGAATCGAATTAACGACCCACACGGAATCTACTACTTGAACAGGCTTGTTTCGTGTTTGCAAAAATTTAAAGCAACTACCGCCCTTGAATATGAGGAAATAAGTTCCGAGGGTGCCTTGGCTGACTTTGCACGCTCGCTCGCGGTAACGTTTGAGCTACGTGTGCGAAAGGGACTGGACATAAAGGGAACACTTTTTTACCTTTTCCTGAGGTTTTTGTCATATTCGTTGCAGCCCATGTAAAAGTGGTTAGCTGAACTGCTACAAGCAACGCCAATGGGAAAGCGAAACCAAGAAAGTTCATCTTCACCGTATCGTCACAGAGGGGTACAACTGTCCAGGCTTATCTCGACTGCTTCGCTTTGTGATCTCTTCACTATGTTATGTTCTTCTCGGCTTTTAAGATTTTGTGATTTTTGTGGAATTCATTACTAAATCTTTTTCGTCACAGTTACCACAGAGGAATTCATGGCATCTTAATGGATCTCATGGTTCACTTTGTCTCAATTCTTTTTTGACATCCGATGTTTCCATCCTATAGAAAAAGTCTTTCTTCAAAGCTAAAAGAACTGCTTGAAACAAAAGATGTAAATACAGGTAACAGAGACTTGCTTTTAAAGTATCCTATTACACTCAGTGTGATTGAATAACCAATTGATTTCGACTCTATTGCTTGTGACCTTTGGAAATTTTTTGCCTTTGTTAACCTCTTAGTTGATAAACATCTTTACCTTTTTACAAATGTTTAAGCTTCTCCTCGGGAAAACATTAGCAACCGAACATTTTCAGCTGACAAATAAGCCACTGAGCAATATGTTTTTATCCGAAATATTGAAGCCCATGACCTCACTCCAACTACTTACAAAAACTCTTACTTATTTTCTGAATCTTAAATACCTAAAGATTAAGGAATCAAGGAGCTTGTTGTTAAGTTCTTTGTTGTTCATTTCGAATGTCTTGTGAGATTGTTTTGGTTAGAGTTCTAAAAGTATGTTTACTCTGCCACGATTAGCTGTCCCTTAAGCCCAAACATGCCAATCGATAGGGTATTAAAGAGCGTGTAATTAGGGCTGAATTGTTAGAAGAGAGACAGAGTCTCAGAGAGTGAAATAAAGCTCCTGAACAGACTTCTGGTGCCTCCGTTTACGCAAGTTGCTCAAGCAAGCTAACCTAAATAGTCCAACACTCTGTTGGCGATGACCGTGAGCCGCCCCTCGGTTCCACCTGAAAACCATTTGAACCTTTCCCCCAAAATTCTTTCGTCTTTCTTTCTTTCGTCTTTCTTCTTTCCAAATCACCTTGACTAAGTCATCCGCCATCCTCAAAAAAACCACCTAGGAATTCTTGGCATCTTAATGGTTCGCTTTCTCTCAATTTTTCTTGATGTTCTCATTGTATGGAAAAAATTTTGAAACCTAGAAAGGACTGCTTGAAACAAAAGATGTGCATACAGGTAACAGGGAAGAGATCTTAAGGCATCTTATTACACTCAGTCTAATTGAATAACCAATCGACTTCGACTTTGATGCTGGTGACCTTCGCAGTTTTTGCCTTAGTTAACCTGTAGGTTGATAAATATCTTTCGTGGAAAGTTTTATACAAAGATGCTTCATCTTTTTTATCTTAAATTGAAACAGGAACCAACGTATCTCCTCAAACCCTCAAAAAGAAATGCCTTCAAACCTGGCACCGGGATATTCAATTTGTTAACATCTAAAGAAAAAACGGTATTCGATTTTTTCATGATGGAACTCCAGGGCTAACAAGTTTGCGTTAATGGTGGTTATAAAATTTTAAAACCTCATTTGGAGGTTTTTTTGGTTCTTAATGGTTGAAAAGGGAAATTGCAATGTTCCTCGGAAGACCTTTCTGATCAATTTGATACGATTGAAGAAAGTTTTCACGGTAGAATCTCTTTCAGATAGAAGTCAATCGATAAGACTCTTGGATGAAAAACGAATTTTGCCTTAGTTCCTCACTAACATCCCAAGAACTCAGACTCAGTCATTTCGGTCTTGTCCTTCAGTGATTGACAAGCATACGATGTCATTGTAGTTTCCATCGTAATTTGTCACTAGAAATACATAATTTGTGAAAAAGTTCAAGCCCTTTCCTGAACTGACCGATATCCTGTTGCGTTAACAGTGCGAAATCTCTGGTGGATACTGGCATAAACACAAGCTCGAAGGGGCCGTGTATTCTTCTAACCTAAGTCAGTTTCCAAAAATACATTCCACGAGCCATCAATTCCCCACTGCCCTCAAGAAACTAAAAGTAGCAATGTCAATGTGATAAAAGCACTGCAACGAGATAAATAAAGAAACACAAATTTTATTGAATTATATGGTAGTGAATCTAAGCGCTATATGAAAGTTGATGCATACGAAATGTTAATTCACAATACTGATGTCAGTTATTTGCCATTGAGCGAAATGGGTCATGTGGCAATGCTGCACTTAAAGTAAAAAAAATTTCACCATTAAAATCTCTATTTGAGGTCAACTTGAATCAGATAAACTCACTCGTTTTCCGTTTGACCGGCTCGACGGCGACAGCCTCAATCTTGGCAATCTTTAAGGAAAGGAGCAACTTGCCGTGAAACTGCCTGATGATTTCTCGGCACAAAATCATCGTGCTTCGTGATACAGCCGATTCTTTCGTCAAAAGTTAGCTTGTGGTTTGCTAAGGAAATCATTCTACGACAGTGAAACTCTAGAACACTAACTAAGCGGAAGCCTTGCGGCTCTTAGTGCGAGGGAATAAAATGTTGTTAACAAAAAGGAACACAGCTACCAATTCTCAACATAGATTTCGCCCTAGAAAACAAAACACAAACGCAACAAACTAAGCATTCATTTACGGGAGTTTTTGTTCTAATCTTGACCTGAATACCGCACGCGAGAAACCGTCTTAGTCAGTCTTCATCGAGATCTTCGTTTGATTCACGCGGTTCTCCTTCGTAGGACTGAATCGTATTCGCAACTTTCACTTCTTCTTTACTACTTGAGTACGATGTATCAGAACGTGATATACGTAGAACTCTGTGGATGTGTAGAATTTAGATTTCCTTACACCCACCCCCTGCAGTTGCATTTGGTTCAATTGATGCCATAGAAACGCGATTCGCCTTTGGGAGAATGTCATCACGAGTGATTGTAGGGATTTTGGTTTTTCTCGGTGGGATCACTCGGGAAATTCCGTCGACGTTGATGCCAATCTGATCAAGAACCTCTTATACGAGGCAAAAGGTAAAATGTCATCGAAAGCATCAAAAAGTAGACTAAAGCAAGGAAAAGGTAGAAAAGGGCGGAGTGAAGGGAAGAATTTCAGTGAATCCTCTTTCTTAAGCTTATAGTCTGTCTATATTATGAGGGTGCGCACCGCGGCCATTGTTACCGTTACTGTGCTGAGTAACTTGGAATATCAAGTTATCACATATGTCATCTCAGTGTCGGTGGTGACTTGAGTTTCGTTGAGAAAATTTTTTGGAGAAAACGAGATCAAAAGCCTGAAAACATTCCTTAATTTGGATAACTATGAGCAAAAAGATGTGAAAGTAGAAGCTCTTTGACTGACATTCTTCAAAACTTTACGAAAGAGTTATAATCAGAAGTTACAACCAACTCGGAAAGACCAACCCATATTCCTCAGGAGCTACGGCCTTGCAATCAAGCGGACCAGGTCCCTTTGGAAGAATAGAATTAAATCTATATCATTATCATTATTGTTATTACTGTTCCAAGTTCCTGTTAGCTAACACTTGGTCCACGCCACCATCCTTGTTTGATCTTTTTCTCAACCATTTATTAAATCAATGTACAATAGACTTAGCTCTCCTTCGGTGAAAATACTCTCCAAAATAATTACCAGATGTCCACCTACTAAAGATTTGATTTTAACCTTGATTATTGAAGTTTTCGTACTCTATTTCATTACGATGTTTTGTCAGTAATTGGAATCACACAATCGATATTTGAGCGCTTTTTGATCAAGTGACGTAAAACTAAGACTAAAGTAATTCCCCAAATGGAACAAAGTAACCATTAAAAGGTTTATGAGAGGTGAAAGTAAACGCCACGATTAGAGACTTCAAAACACGGATAATCAAGTAGGTAGGCCGTCAATATCAGCACTTCTGTACGGGCGTTTCTTCACCCACGACAAAATTAGTATGAGACCGTGAGAAAAATATAAACAAACAAAACCGGCGAGTCAAGGGGTCTAGGCTCATTGCTACACCCTCCCTGCAAACATTCCCCCAGGCTCGTCACAAATCTTCTTGTAGGCGGAAAAACACACGTGCCGCCGGGCCAATAATGATCGAGGACCCGCTCGCCTGCAGCTGCTCGTAGTATACGATCGCACAAGTTTATAAACCAATCGCGGAGTGCAATTAAGCAAAATATCCATCACGGGTAATTAAGCTCAGGCACTCATTTGGAGATTGCTGTGAGTTAGATCATGTGATTTTGTCACGACCCTCACTCTCGAGAAAAATAATCTAAGGGATCTGTCTCACTCGAATGGAGAAATGATTGAGAGGTTAAATCTAAAAAGTTACATGGATTGGTTCCCTGCGAATTTGAACGAAGCCTCTTAACTGGGTTGGGAAATTACTAAAAAAAATCCAGTGAACAAGAAAAGACCAGGATGTACAGTTAGATATCAAATCTTTGACAAAATGTTTGAGACAACCTCAAATTTCGTTTAATTTCTTAGATCCCAGTTAACTGACTCGTGGATTCCACTTCTTCGTTACAATATAGATTGTTTAACATATAAAGTAGCATGCATATTTTGAACTTAGAGGATAGAAATACAAGCTCTAAACACCTCTTCAGTTATAACCGAGTTCGTAACTAACAGTACAGCCCGAAAAAAACGAGTTACTAAGATATTTGTTAAATTTTCGGGTTCAAATAGATGAAGAAGATTTTAACTTAAACAAAGTTTTGAATTTAGGGAGGCGTACAGTGAGGTATGGCCCGCTTAATTGACCGATCATAGCACACGTATTAATTGAGATATGATAAAAATTGAGCATTGATCTGAATCCAGTTATTTCATGCAAGATACCCCTCAGATTCCTGTCAGGGAATTTACCTATGCTCCTTTCAAGGGACATAATAAAATCATACCTCAATCAATCGAACGTTTTTTTCTGGCTCATAGCAATCGTCGCCGTTAGGAAACAACTTAATATTTGGATCCTCTAATTGAAGGGCGCTTTCAACATATGCGACGTTTTGTTCGGACATCATAAATTCATTTAAGAGCTGTTGGTCTAAAGAATTATCACCCATTACACCAAACGCTCCCACGACTTTATTCTTTTTTAAGTTCAAACAACAGCCCACCGTCCACATTGAGTTTGGAATTGCGATCTTTGGTCCGAGATTCTTGTTTACATCCACGTTGTTATGGAACCACTGCAGAGGTTCCATCCCTTTGGGTGCTTTTATTTTACCTTGACGATCACGTTTCCGGAGAAACTTAACCTTCGATGTACCAGTGATTAGGAAAAGGGTTCCACCGTTCGGAGAACAAGTTTTCCGGGCGTATTTCTCTATTCTCTGTTCATACCTTTTCCACTGACCTCCGTTGAAACTTGCAATTTGCGGCACGCAGTTAGTGTAGATGAATGTGGCAAGGACACTTTCAAGGCTGTAACGCAAGATTTTAACAGGAACTAGGTGGCCTTTCTCGTATCTACCCTGGAAAGGTTGGTTCTCGTACAATTTTTTGCTTCCTTGAAGAATCCCTGATCATGAGAGAGTTTTAAAGTACACTTATGTCACACACAAGCCAAGAAATTTCGTTCTCGATTGATCCGCTAGGCAAGTAAAGTTTTCACCCTCCCAATCGCGGTCGCGAAATGTTAAAGCGAATTATCTCAGATTAGTCAAGGAAATTGTTTGCTTAAAATGATATACCCATCATGCACGACTTTTCTCACAAGTCTCTCCTCTTTCCATTCGTATTTTTGCCTCATTGTACCTGCAGTGTAATACCGTCGTATGTTTTGCGTTTACCGTTGCCTTAATGTACGTGGTAAAATGGAACGATAGAATAATGATCCATAATGTAAATGTATATATGTACCAAATATTTATCTATCTAACTACTCACCCATCTATCCATCTATCTAACTATATATAAAAACACATTCATATATATATATGTATATACACTCGCATTAAAAAACGTTGCAATTAAAAAAAAAAAAATACAATAAATCTTTTGTTTAGTTTCTCATCAAAAAGTGTCTCCTTTTGATGAGAAAACGAAATACTCGCATAACCCCATCTCAGCATCTTATCGATTGCATAGGGAATGCGTGAAAGACCAAAAGACCAGAACCGGGGTGGTTCTGATACAATGCTTTGCCTCCTTGATGAATTCCAGAACATGCGACAGGCTTAAAGTACACTGATGTCACTCACAAGAAATTTTGTTCCCGATTGATCCGCTAGGTAAATAAAGTTCTTACCCTCCCGATCATAGTTACAAGGTGTTAAAGTGAAAGGTCTCAGATAAGTCAAAGAAATGATTTTCTCAACATGATTAAACCATCGATCATGCATGACTTTTCCCGCAAGTTTCTGCTCTTTCCATTCGTATTTTTGCCTCATTGTATCTACAGTGTAATACCGTCGCATTTTTTGCGTGTACTGTTGTCCTAATGTGGTAAAATGGCGTGATAGTGTAATGACGCATTATGTAAATCTATATCTACCTAGTATCTTTCTTTCTATGTATCTATGTATGTATAAATGTATCTATCTATCTATATATATATAATATATATATATTTATACGGGAAGTCTGTGTATTGATTTATCCGTTTTACAGTGCTTAATACGTAGAAGTAGAGCGCGATGTATGTTGTGATAGGGGAAAAAAACAGAGAGACCATACTTTCATCCCTACAAGCCTGATTCGTGACAGCTCACTCATCAATCACGAAGCAGGCTTGTAGGGATGAAAGTATGGTCTCTCTGTTTTTCCCCCTATCGCAACATATATACATGTATTTTCTAGCGTTTCAAATTTAAGTTTACGAAACACTCGACCTCATCTCAACAACTTATCGATTGCATAAGGAGTGCGTGAAAGACGAAAACAGCACGAACGAAACCATTAAAGTAGACTTTGTGACCATTTGATGCAAAACCTGGTACACTTGGGAACTTGTTTCTTGAAAAGCTAGTCCCAAAAGGCGAAAGAAAGTTTGGTTTGTCAGCGCAGCCACTTCGCTCGCCTGCTGTCCGCATTTTTGCTTAGTTCTACAGTGTAATACTGTGGCATATCTAGTGCGTTCTTTTGTCCTAAAATGGCAAAGCGTTGCGGTACTAGAATAAGGAATGTATAATTTTTTCCTAAATTTTTTTTATCACAAAAGTAAATTATAATAGTAACACTAGTGACCTTACCCGGCGTCTGATTCGGTTGCCATGGGTCACCTTGAGGTCTTGGTACTTTTGGTTTCATGGCGTCTTCGGCGGTAATCTTGTAGAGTGCGTAACGTGCAATTCCCAAATTATTATCGTGGAGAGTGGCGTAATATTTGTCTTGGCAGAGGGGACGGGTGACACCTAGCTGCTCTGGAAAGGTTGGTTTACCACCACGCAATGAGAATGTGTTAAGATTGCATGCTGGTAACATGCGACGTAGTGGTTGTTCACCCAGGTATTTTCCTTGCTCATCATAATCTTTGACACAAGAAAACGTCTTTTTATTCATATTATCACACTTTTCTCAAAATTATGCTATATGCTTATCCTTCATAGAGCATCTTCATTTGAAAGAAGATGACGACTGGGAAGAAAGGAGGGCCAGGGAAATGGAGGGGGGAGAAGGGGGTGTAGTATTCTAATAATCCCCACTCATTTACAATCGATTTCCTATTGTTCTCCTTTTATACTCTGAAAGCAACGACTGATCCCCCTTTCATTCTCCTGAAAATCATATTACCCCTCTCCCCCCCAAAAATAATATCTTGGCTCTCAGAAATCCTTCCTCCATCCCTCATTCCCTCCTCCCACCATGTGATAAATGTTGATTGCTCCCTAATGCAGAGTTAATGATGCATTGTTCCGGTCAGGAGAAATTTGAAAACATCTTTGAAACACGTTTAATCGGCCATGAAGACCAAAATTGAAAGCTGACCGTAGAGTTTGAGGAAGGAGGCTTTCTTTTTCTTTCAATTCTTTGGAGGACTGACTTACCGTGTAAACTTCTTTGAAGACTAGCGTAACCTTCCGCAGTTAAGTCAACTTTTATCTAACTTTCACTAAGTTATCTACCATCCTTACAAAATAAAAATTAAAAAAAAAGAAAATTCGAGACAAAAGTCAATTTTCAATTGACCGTTTGCTCGTCCCATCGAGCGTACGCCAAATAACTCAGTTTTTCTCTTCCTCTAAAGATGCAACGATTTGCTTGTAATTCCTAAAATTCTCTAAGAAAAAACTTCCGTCAAATTAAAATTAAAGTCCATCATAAGTTCTTTTGTTCTACTGTAAATTGTTTTCAGCAAGTAACAGATAGTTACTCAAAGTTTAATTTTGTCTATACATAATTCAAAATTTGTCGATCAAACATCAATATGTGAAGGTCTTCGTTTAGATCTTTTATCGGAATCGAATTAACAACCCACACAGAATCCACCGCTTTAATAGGCTTGCTCTATGTCTGAAAAAATGTAAAAGTAACTACCGCCCTTTAATCTGTGTCTACTGAAGAACTGTAGCGTTTGAAACTGAGAAAAAAATATCCGCGTAAAATAAGTTCGAAGGGTGCCTCAGACAAACTTTGCACGCGCGCTCGCGTTTGAGTTACAGTCCCAGAGTGCTTATTCGGGAGCAACGCTTAATCCAATGAATACAGTTTGCGTGTGAGAAGGAGATTCGACATAAAAGGAACATCCTTTTACCTTTTCCTGAGATTTTTGTCACATTCGTTGCAGCCCATGTAAAAGTGATAAGCTGAACTGCTACAAGCAACGCAAAGAGGAAAGCGAAACCAAGAAAGTTCATCTTCACCGTATCGTCACAAAGGGGTACAGCTGTCCAGGCTTTTCTCGACTGCTTAGCTGTTGTGATCTCTTCACTATGTTATGTTCTTCTGGGCTTTTAAGATTTTTGTGATAGAATACATTATATACATAGTCAGGAGCCAAGTAATGTGCTCCTGACATAATCTATTTGGGCTCAGTTACCACAGAGGAATTCATGGCATCTTAACGGTCTCATGGTTGACTTTATCTCAAATTTTTTTTGACATCTAATGTTGTCATCGAATTGCAAAAATCTCTCTTCAAAGCTAAAAGGACTGCTTGAAACAAAAGATGTGAATACCTACAGGAAATAGAGAAGAGCTTTTAAAGTATTTTATTACACTCGGTCTGCTTGAATAACCAGTTGATTTGGACTCCATTGCTGATGACCTTTGGAAATGTTTTGCCCGAGGCAACCTGTTAGTTAATAAATACCTTTAAGGGAAATATTTTTACAAACGTTTTTAGCTTCCTCTCGGGAAAACATAGCAACCGAACATTTTCAGCTGACAAATAGGCCACTAAGTACTATGTTTCCATCTAAAATGTGAAGCTTTTGGCCCCCAAAAATCCTTCTTCCACCCTTCATTGCTCCCCTCCCCATATGATAAATGTTGGTTGCTCCCTAATGCAGAATTAATGATGTATTGTTACGGTTAGGAGAAATTTGAAAACATCTTTGTAACAAGTTTCATCAGCCATGAAGACCAAAATTGAAAGCTGACCAAAGAGTTTGAGGAAGGAGGCTCTCTTTTTTCTTTCAATTCTTCGGAGGACTGACTTACCGTGGAAACTTCTTTGAAGACTAGCGTAACCTTCCTCAGTTTATTCAACGTTTATCTAACTTTCGCTAAGTTATCTGCCATCCTCACAATATTAATAAAAAAAGACGAAAACTCGAAACAAAGGTCAATTTTCAATTGCGTTTTGCTCGACCATCGAGCGTACACCAAATATCTAAGTTTTCTTCTTATCGTAAAGATGGAGTGATTTGCTTGTAATTACTAAAATTCTCTAAGAAAAAACTTCCGTCAAATGAAAATTTAAGTCCATCATAAGTTCTTTTGTTCCACTGTAAATTGTTTTCAGCAAGTAACAGATAGTGTTACTCAAAGTTTAATTTTGTCTAGAAGTAAATGGTTCAAAATTTGTCGATCAAAAATCAATATGTGGAGGTTTACGTTTAGATCTATTATCGGAATCGAATTAACAACCCACACAGAATCCACCGCTTGAACAGGCTTGCTCTATGTTTGAAAAATTGTAAAAGTAACTACCGCCCTTTAATCTATGTCTACCGAAGAACTGTAGCGTTTGAAACTGAGAAAAAAAATCCTCGCCGTAAAATAAGTTCCAAGGGTGCCTCAGACAAACTTTGCACACCCGCTCGCATTTGAGGTATAGTCTCATATGGCTAATTCGGGAGCAACGCTTAATCCAATGAATACAGTTTGCGCGTGCGAAAGGGATTGGAAATAAAGGGAACCCTTTTTACCTTTACCTGAAGTTTTTGTCACATTCGTTGAAGCCCATGTAAAAGTGGTCAGCTGAACTGCTACAAGCAACGCCAGGGGGAAAGCGAAACCAAGAAAGTTCATCTTCACTGTATTGACACAAAGGGGTTTGACTGTCCAGGCTTACTTCGACTGCTTAGCTGTTGTGATCTCGTCACTATGTTAAGTTCTTCTCGGCTTTTAAGATTTTTGTGATAGAATACATTCCATTATCTATTTCGTCTCAGTTACTACAGAGGAATTCATGACATCTTAATGGATCTCATGGTTCACTTTGTTTCAATTTGTTTTTGACATCCAATGTTGTCATCGTGTAGAAAAAATCTTTCTTCAAAGCTAAAACGACTGGTTTAAACAAAAGATGTGAAAACAGGTAATAGAGAAGAGCTTTTAAAGTATCTTATGACACTCAGTCTGATTGAATAACCAAACTCTAGACTCAAGACTCCAATGTTTTGCTTTAGTCAACCTGTTAGTTAATAAATACCTTTAAGGGAAAGTTTTTTAAAACTGTTTAAGCTTCTTCCGGAAAACACTGGCAACCGAACATTTTCGGCTGACAAATAAGCCATTAAGTCATCCGAAATATGGAACTCTTGAACACCATCTCCTCACTCCAACTACTTAAAAAAACTCTTACTTATTTTCTGAGTCTTAAATACCTCAAGATTAAAGAATCAACGTATCCGAATCAAGGAGTTTGTTGTTAGGTACTTTGTTGTTCATTTCGATTATGAAATTTTTTTTAGTGAGCGTTCTAAAAATATGTTTACTCTGCCACGGTTATCTGTCCCATAAGCCCAAACATGCCTACCGATAGGGTATTAAAGAGCATGTGCTTAGGGCTGAATTAGCAGAAGAGAGTCAGAGTCTCAGAGAGTAAAATGAAGAGTTTCTCAAGCTAGTGAACCTAAACAATCCAACACTCTGTTGGCGATGATTGACCCCTCCTCCTCCCCTTCCGTTCCACCTGAAAACCAGATGATCCCCAAAATCTTTCCACCCCAAAATCTTTTCGTCCTTATTTTGACTAAGTCATCTGCCATCCTGAAAAAAACCATCGAGGAATTCATGGCATCTTAATGGTTCACTTTCTCTCAATTTTTTTTTATATCCCATATTGTCGTGGTAAAGCTAAAAGGACTGCTTGAAACAAAAGATGTGCGTACAGGTAATAGGGAAGAGAGTTTAAGGCATCTTATTACCCTCAGCCTAATTGAATAAGCAGTTGACTTTGACTCTGATGCTAGTGACCCTCGCATTTTTTGCCTTAGTTAACCTGTAGGTTGATAAATATCTTTCGTGGAAAGTTTTATACAAAGATGCCTCATTTTCTTCCATCCTAAATTGAAACAGCAATCTACTCTACTCTCAAACCCTCTAAAAGTAATTCCTTTAAACCCGTTACTGAGATATTTAATTTGTTAAGAACTAACGAAAAAACGATACTCGATTTTGTCATGATGGAAATCTAGGGCTAGATTTAGCTAGATTTTTGGTTATAAAATTTTAAAACCTCATTTGGACGTTTTTTTGGTTTGGAAAAGGGAAATTACAATGTTCCTCGGAAGACCTTTCTGATCAATTCGATACGATTGAAGAAAGTTTTCACGGTGAAATCTCTTTCAGATAAAAGCCAATCGATAAGACTCTTGGATGAAAAACGATTTTTGCCTTGAGTCCGGTCCTGACTAACACCCCAAGAACTCAGACTCTGTCATTTTAGTCTTGTCCTCCAGTGATTGACAAGCATACAATGCTATCAAAGGACGAAAACTGAATCAGTTGCAGGCGTAAGCTAAATGAAAAGTTCGACGAACAGAATGACCACTAAGAGTGGTTCTCAAGGTAAAAACAATCAAACTGCCTGAACGTGGGTTACTAAGTTGTGATTGGTTTCAGTTTTGCATCTGATTGGTTGAGAGTGACTCGAGCTTTCAGAACCAATCACAGAACGAAGTAAAGTTAAATCAATGCAATCTTGGATAACTTTCGACACTCAATTGAAAATTTCTCTAATGATAATAATAATTACTTAAAAATGATTAATGATAATGAAAAAAAGCCTTATTATGATCTAAGATGAAACGAACTCTTCCAACAAATTAACTTTCCTAACTACATGGACATTCACAATTATAGATTCAACTACAATTTTTAAAATAAATCGATCTACTAAATAGTTTCTAAATCTAAGTTGTATTTAAGAAAATTTGGAAATAAAGAAAGGTGATTTTTTCCGTTTTTCTCTGACATTCACTACCAAATAAACTGCCCCTAAAATGTTAAAGAGATAAGGAAGAAGTACATTTTCATTTCCTAAATCGAACAAGTCGTTTCTTCCTGAAACCAAATAGGCGTATATTACCTGTTTCATTTTTTTTCCAATGATGTGGAAAGTGGAGGAAAATGCTTCTTAAAGACAGAGTAGCGCCATAGGTTGGTCTTAAAATTGAACAAATTGTTCTTTCGACTTTTAAATATTATAAGTTATTAGTTACAGTCAAATGAAGAGCCTGCGCTCTATTTTTTCTTATGACTAATTCACATTGAGGTACCAGCCTGTGAGAAGCATAGGATTCGTTTTGTCAATTTCTAGCTTAACATAAACATTATGTTCCACTTGCTCTGCACATCAATTGAATACTCACAAAGGTTTGCATTTTTAGACAAGAAACAGACATAATGCAGTCACGAGAAATACGAATAGTCATTTTGAAAGCTGTATTTGGACGGAGAAATTTGATATATGTAAAACTCTATGGATGTGTAAAATTTAGATTTCCTTACACCCACCACCTGTAGTTGCATTTGGTTCATTGATGCCATAGAAACGCGGCTCGCCTCTGGGAGAATGTCACTGCGAGTGATTGTGGGGATTTGGGTTTTTCTCGGTGGGATCACTGGGGAAATTCCGTTGATCAAGAACCGCTTGTAAGAGATGAAAGATAAAATGTCATCGAAAGCATCAAAAAATAGAATAAAGAAAGGACGAGGTGAGGGAAAGATGAAGGAAAAATAAAAAGGTGGAAAAGGGAAGGGAAGAATTTCAATGAATCCTCCGCTTCTTAAGCTCACTGTCTGTCTATATTATGAGGTTGTTCTTCCGTCTGCGCACCGCGGCCATTGCTACCGTTACTATGCTGAGTAAATTGGAATGTGAAGTTAAAGTCACATAATTCATCCAAAGTGTCGGTGGTGACTTGAGTTTCGTTGAGAAAATTTTGTGGAGAAAACAAGATCAAAAGCCTGAAAATTTTCCTTAATTTGGATAACTATGAGCAAAAAGGTTGGAAGTCGAGGCTCTTTGACGGACATTCTCCAAAACTTTACCAAAGAGTCATAATCAGGAGTTACTACCAACTCGGAAGGAGCCTTCCACATTCCTCAGGACCTACGGCTTTGCAATCAAGCGGACTAGGTCCCTTTGGAAGAATAGGATTAAATCTACATTATTATCAGTATCGTTATCATTACTGTTTCAAGTTCCTGTAAGCTAACACTCCAAGCCACCATCCTTGTCTGATCTTTTTCTCAACCTTTAAATAAATCAATTCGCATTAGACTTAGCTCTCCTTCAGTGAGAATACTCTCCGAAATAATTCCTAGATGTCTCCCTACTAAAGATTCGATTTTAACCGTGATTAGTTAAGTTTTCGTACTGTATTTCATTACGATGTTTTATTCGCAATTGGAATCACACAATCGAATTTGAGCGCTTTTTGATCAAGTGACATAAGACCAGGACTAAAGTAATTTCCCAAACGGAACGAAGTCAACATTAGAGGGTGTAAACATTACAAGCTTTATGTGAACTGAAAGTAATCGCCACGATTAGAGACTTGAAAACACGGATAATTAAATCGTGATTTGAGTTTAGTCCTTCCTCTGATTGATTGATTGGCAAAAGCTTGCGAGTGGGCCGTCAATATCAGCACTTCTGCACGGGCGTTTCTTCGCTCACGATAAAGTAAGTATGAGGCTGTGATGAAAAAACAAAAAACAAACAAACAAACAAACAAACAGAACCGGCGAGGCAAGTGGGTCTTGGCTCATTAGAAGTGCCATAGCTTCCCGCAAACATTTCCCCTGGCTCGTCGCAAATCTTCTTGTGGGCGGAAAAACGCACGTGCCGCAGGGCCAATAATGATCGAGGGCCTGCTCGCCTGCTCGAAGGAAACAATCGCACAAGTTTATAAACCAATCACGGAGTGCAATGGGGCAAAAGAATTTCATCACGGGTAATTAAGCTCAGGCACTCATTTGAAGATTGCTGTGAGTTAGATTATGTGATTTTGTCTCGTCCCACACTCTCGATTAAAATATTCTCAGGGATTTGATCTCATTCGAATGGAGAAATGATTGAGAGGTCTAATCTAGAAAGTTATGTGGATTGGTTCTCTGCAAATTTGAACGAAGCCTCTTAACTGGGGTGGGAAATTACTAAAAGAAACCAGTTAGGAAGAAAATACCAGGATATACAGTTAGATATCAAATCTTTGACAAAATGTTTGGGACAACTTCAAATTTCGTTTAATTTCTTAGATCACAGTTAATTGATTCTTGATTCCTCTTCTTTGTTACAATATATATTTTTAAGCAGATAAAGTAGCATGCATATTTTGAACACCAAGGATGGAAATACAAGCTCTAAACACCTTCCTAACCGAGTTCGTAACTTACAGCGCAGCCCGAGGAAAACGAGTAACTAACATATTTTTTGGGTTCAAATAGTAGAGGTAGATTTCAGTCTAAATAAACTTTTGAATTTAGCGAGGCTTACAATGAAATACGGCCCGCTTCATTCCCCAGTCATAGCGCACGTGTGTATCGTGCAATTCTCCAATTATTATTATAGAAAATGGCATATTGATTGTCTGGGCAGATGGAAAGGGTGACACCTGGCTGCTCTGGAAAAGTTGGTTTTTTATTACCCAATGAGAAGGAGTCAAGATCGCACGCTGGTACTACGCGACGTACTGGTTGTTCACCCAGGTCTTTTTCTTGCTCATCATAATCTTTGACGTAAGAAAAAGTTTTCTTTTTATTCATTTAATCACATGTTCCTCAAAATTATGCTATAT